TTTACTCTTACCAAACAGACCATAATTTGCTACAATAGTAAGGATGTGCAAAGGATGAGAAATGTTTAACCTTGAAAACTAAAAGAAGATCCTCTTCTCCATGAATAATTAGAGAGAGGGTCCAGTAACAAGTAATGGGGGTCACACATTCATTCAGCACAGGTTTCAAGATCTTGCAAGTAGGAACAAAGCGTCGAACGATTCTCCCGCTGTTGTAAAAGTACCAGATGAGCAATTTGGTATGAATCCATAATACCTTAACACAAGAAGAGGGGGGGAGGGGGGGTTATGTATGGAAGAGCCTTTAAGTACCTTGGTACTGAGTCTCAATCTGAACTCCAAAAGCAGGAAATATTATCACAGACTCTGTGACGCATAAACCAAAAAAGTGAGTGACAGAACATGAGAAGAAAAGTACTCCTCCCATTTAAAAAAACAGTTTCATCAAGGTACAAGTTTTTATTCCATACATAAAAAATATGGCAACCCAAGTAGTTAAATGAAAATATGGGATCTTAAAGGGATCATCAAAGAAATAAATCATTGACCAAGAAATCATGTATTCGTCAAATGTTGCTATTTTCTCCTAAGTAGTGAAACACCGCTTGAGGCCTTGATGTGTAAAAACATCAAAGAGTTGTGCATTAAATGCACAGCCAATACATTACCATTGGAATTTCTTATGTAAAAAACATCCACTTCCCGGGCAATAAAATAACAATTTGCTATTACGCTTTATAACTATACACATACTACAACATTTCTATAATTTTAAGTAAATTTAGCTTTTAAAAGTCATCATTATCAATCTTAGTGTATACTTGAACTCCGATATCGTATGTCGATTTCCCAAACTCTATTGGGAATAAGGCTTGGATGATGTTGTAGTCGTAGTAGGTGTATTGGTTACTTTAACTAAAATCTCATTGTTAATATGTTCTGGAGCCCTTTTTGGTAATGAATTACAAGATAAGTAGCTATGCTTCGAAACATTTCACCTCTTTTCTTGAAGATCATCCTCAAACCAAAAAACAGATATTGTAATCAAAGATTTATTTCCTCACCTCTGACAACTAGCTTTCGATAAATCCAGATGAGTGATGCCACAACAAGAAAGCTGTAAAGAAGAGCAGCACTATACCTAACCTGCTATCTCGCACACATAATCACTCTCTAATCAGTAATCACGACCCTTTACTAAATTGAAGCAAATGAGGTGAAATGTCCAAAGATCTAAATCTACAGCTTTGAGATGCCTATGTATCATAGTTATGAACAGTCACAGAAATACAAATTTAGTATGGCACAATAATGCTCCCTTTGGTAGCTAATGTGGTTTACTCTGCTTACGAGCAGAATAAGTAGCTTTTGACTTGCACTTTAACTTGGCTCTGATGTTAACAGAGACTTTTCTTTTCAGAGAGCACAGCAGATTTATCCACTTTAGCAGAATAATCCTTAACAGGCCCTGAATACTTAATATGGATATACTAGATAAATACATTATACCAGCACAATTAATAATGAGCTAACCACTTAATCTCAAATGATCATCAAATAGGAACAGTAAATCCTTGGATATTAAGCGAGTATATACCAGTGCAAGTAGAGAGCAAATGTAGGCTGAGAGGAGGAGAAATGTGAGTAAAATTGAAGCATTGGGTAAAGCATTTCTTGGAAGCATGACATGGTGGACATCTATGGCTTCAGTGGGCCCTTTACCAACATCATGTACATAATTGTATCTCCCAATCGTAATACTGCTACTCCTTCCTCCTTCCATTTTCTCTCTGCAAATTGACAGAGGGTGAGATTTGAGGGGTACATCTGATCATAATAAATCGCACGACTGAAATGGCTTATGCACTTAAGCGGGAAATGTCTCTTTCCATGAGTACTGCTATTATGTAAAAGGATTAGAGAAGCAAATTTTGATATGCATTATATATAGGGTTAAAGAACTAACAATGAAATCATGCACTATAATATACAGAGTATTACTTTTCTTGGTATCTTATATGAGTCAAATTACCAAAAAAAAAAAAAATTAATGTTTTTAATAGAAACTTTAAGATGAAGCTCAAAGTAAAATTTTTGAAGTGGGAAAAAGTGAAACTCAAGAAAATTGGAGCCCATGATATATATGCTTGGAGCCCATGATATATATGCTCCATCTTGAGGGGAGTGTTGGAGCCAAACATATAGAAGTAGACTGCCATATCGTCAGAGACAAGATCAAATCTGGAGACATCTTCACTACTTTTGTGAATTCAAAGGATCAATTGGCAGATGTGATCACTAAGTCTCTTAGAAGACTTACATCAAATGAGATGTCAGGACGTGTAATAGTGAGGTAAAGAAGTTTTCCAACAAGTCTTCTATATCTATCGGGATTTGATAAAGGCCCCCCTGTCCCGGTAGAAGCTTGTCATTAGGATCCATGGGCGTATCAATTGGCTTACAGTTTGTCATACCAGCTTCTTCAAAAATATCTAAAGCACACTTTCTTTGTGATATGTACACACCTTGTTTTGACTGTGCAACTTCAATACCTAGAAAGTATCTCAATTTGCCGAGATCTTTTGTTTCAAAATGCTGAAATAAATGTTTCTTAAGAAGTTTTATTCCCTCTACTTCATCACCCGTGATCACAATATTATCCACGTAAACCACAAGGTAGATATTAAGACCCCTTTTTATTTTGTAAAATACAGAATGATAAACTTTACTTTGAATCATGTTAAATTTTTGTACTACTTCACTGAACCGTCCAAACCATGCACGTCTTCAACCCACACAATGAGCGTTTGAGGTGGCAAACAAGATCATCTCCCCCAAAAGCAATGAATCCCGGAGGTTGTTCCATATAAACCTCCTCCTTTAGATCTCCATGCAGGAATGCATTTTTTATATCCAATTAATGTAACGACCACTGTCGTATTGCTGAAATAGCCAGCAAAGTGCGAGCTGATGCTATTTTTGCAACAGGGGAGAATGTATTAGTATAGTCAATTCCAAACACTTGTGGGTATCCTTTGGCTACAAGCCTGGATTTGAGCCTGTCTATCATGCCATTAGGACCAACCTTGACTGTGTGTAACCATCTGCAGCCGACCACGGGTTTATCTGGTGGTAGAGGCACAAGTTCCTATGTCCATGACAAGTGAAGAGCTTCCATTTCATCAAGCATGGTCTTTTTCCAACCTGAATGACTCAATGCTTCCTTGACACTTTTAGGGGCAGAAACAAAAGAGAGATGTGTAATAAAGGCACAATATGATGGTGACAAATGATTGTATGAGAGGTAGTTATAGATAGGATAAGGATTTCGAGTGGATCTTTTACCAATTCTGCTGGCAATGGGAAGATCATTAGTTATCTCTTGGGCCAACTCTTGAGGTGACGATGGCTCAGCACATAAATCACTTGGATTAATATCTTCTATGTTGGATGATGGTAAGGCTTACTCGAACGATGTCGACGGTGATAGGTATAAGGGAACTCAATAATACGGTTCTCTGGAATGTCACTGGTAGTTCATTTTTCAGGGATGGCCCGGGATGTAGGTTCAGGAAAGTTTGGGACAGGCAGAACGGGTTCATGTTCTTTGAAAGGCTGCATAAGGTCACTTTCTGTAGAGTCATCAGTAAAGTTCGATTCCTCGAGGGGAGAAGAATGAGAGAAATATGGAGTAGACTCAAAGAAAGTGACATCAAAAGATGTATATATACGCTTTGACCTAGGACAGTAACATCGAAAGCCCTTTTGAAGACGAGAGTATCCCAAGAGCACATACTATCTTCAAATCAACATCTCTAGCTCTATCAAATAGTTTAATTATTCAATCCAACTCAAATTCAACAAATAGTTTAATTATTCAATCCAACTCAAATTCAACCCGAATATAACCCAATCAAATATAACCTGAATATAGTTCACCTCAAATCCAATCCAATCCAATCAAATAATCCAAATCATCTCAAGTCCAACAAAAGCCGGAAATATAATCTAAAGCATGGGTAATAAAATTCAACACTTCCAATTATGGATTTTTCTCCAAAAACATTTTTGACTAAAGCCCTAGTTCTTTTTAAGATGGGCGGTACTCGGGGTTACCGAGCCCAGTAAGCCGTTGTTTTTTACGAACTTACCCCGGAATTTCCGGTCTCCATCAACCACAAAAGGTGGAGGTGATTGTGCCTCCGAGGTGGTGATAACCGGATCCGGATGCAAAACAACCTGAGTGGGAACAGTAGTATGCACAGGGGAGTTCGTAGAAGTAGGAGGCCGAGCCATAAATGGGAAAATATCCATATGAAAAATCACATCACGAGAAATAAACTTGTCAAGAGTAAAATCGTGGGCTAAGGTGACTCGACCAGCCACTACCACAACCACCATACGCCCGTCTGGAAATCCAACCGGGCAAGGAGAAATAGTCCCGGGATCCGTGAGGCAAGTGGAGTCAGCCGTAACATGATGGGAAGCTCCGGTGTCAATAATCCACTTCAAGAGGGGAAACGTACCCGACATCCGGTCACTAGAATGAGTATCGGTATTAATTAAATTTAGGAGCGCCTGCACCTGCTCGGGGGTTAAAGTAGCTAAACCATTATAGTTATTCCCCGTAGTAGAAGAAGACGGTCCTTCCGGAAATATAATCTAAAGCATGGGTAATAAAATTCAACACTTCCAATTATGGATTTTTCTCCAAAAACATTTTTGACTAAAGCCCTAGTTCTTTTTAAGATGGGCGGTACTCGGGGTTACCGAGCCCAGTAAGCCGTTGTTGTTTACGAACTTACCCCGGAATTTCCGGTCTCCATCAACCACAAAAGGTGGAGGTGATTGTGCCTCCGAGGTGGTGATAACCGGATCCGGATGCAAAACAACGTGAGTGGGAACAGTAGTATGCACAGGGGAGTTCGTAGAAGTAGGAGGCCGAGCCATAAATGGGAAAATATCCATATGAAAAATCACATCACGAGAAATAAACTTGTCAAGAGTAAAATCATGGGCTAAGGTGACTCGACCAGCCACTACCACAGCCACCATACGCCCGTCTGGAAATCCAACCGGGCAAGGAGAAATAGTCCCGGGATCCGTGAGGCAAGTGGAGTCAGCCGTAACATGATGGGAAGCTCCGGTGTCAATAATCCACTTCAAGAGGGGAAACGTACCCGACATCCGGTCACTAGAATGAGTATCGGTATTAATTAAATTTAGGAGCGCCTGCACCTGCTCGGGGTTAAAGTAGCTAAACCATTATAGTTATTCCCCGTAGTAGAAGAAGACTATGTGTGAAGCCCGCGGGTCTCGATCAATTATCTTCAAATCAACATCTCTAGCTCTATCAACTTGTACAATAATGAAGCGTGTAAACTCAACCGCCGATGGGATCTTCCGTTTTGTCAAAGAGAGAAGTAGAAGCTGCAGGAGATCCATGGAGGCATCAATCTCTTCGTCTTCCGGCGGAGAAGGATACGAGTGGGTGAGGAAAGAGCGGGTGGACGCGGTGGTGGTGGGAGCAGGGGTGGTGGGCATAGCGGTGGCGCGTGAGCTAGCGGTGAAGCAGGGAAGAGAGGTTCTGGTCATCGACTCCGCACCGACATTCGGCACCGGAACAAGCTCCCGTAACAGTGAGGTCATCCATGCCGGCATCTACTATCCTCCCCATTCCCTCAAGGTCCCACCTTTACCCCAACTTTATCTACAGTTGACCTCCCATTATTATTTCAATTGGTGTTCAAAATATAGAAATGCTCCGTAACAATAAAAGTCATAAACTATTTACTTAAATAAGAGAATGGTAATTTTTCTAGGACAATTAAATCAAGGGACGGGACACATGATTGGACTACAAAACACTATATGTGTAACTTGTAAAGCTCTTTTGCTAGTAATGGATTAAAATTAGCAAAATTAGTTGAAATGGTTGAAATTGATGAAGTTCTAATTAAAGCTGCTAAATTCGCTGAATCTATATGTGAATTTTGAAGGGAAAATTGTGTAGTACTGCGTATGTTTTATTGATAAAATAGAGAAAAATACTCCCATGTTCTGTTAGAAGGTTCTCACTTTCCTTTTTTGGACGTCCCATTAGAAGGTTCTCATTTCCATTTTAGGAAACAATTAGCAATCTTAAGTGACAAATTAGTCATTAAATATTAACAATAATACATTTATAACATCACAGTTATCAATACTAACATATTATAATATATACTTATTAAAATTATTTCTCAAAATATACCCGAAGTACTTTATTTAATTATCACCTAAATAACTGTGTCGTTTTGCAATGGGAACCTTCTAGCGGGACGGAGGTAGTATATGGTATGACAAAGTACCTAAATTAGTTGTATTTGGTTAGAAAAATAACTTCAACCTTATTTATTTTGATTATAATACAGTTCAAGGCAAATCTCAGCACCCGCTTGGTAATATCAAAATCGGTTAATTTTGCTGAAACTTTCAAAGTTCTAGCTAAAGTAACAAGATTTTTTAATTATGCTGATTTATGTAAAAATTATATTTAAAATATATTGTATTTATACAATAGAGAAAAAAAATATGAAAATATAGTTAAAATAATCCTCTACCGTGACTTAGTCAATACAATCAGAAAAATAACTCTAACCTTATTTTTTCTTATAAATACACAATTCAGCGCGCAAAATCAAAGTTTATGTGTTTGGCGATAAAATTGACTAGTAAGCCTGATAAATCGAAAAACATACTCACCAAACAAGCTTTAAATGTAAATATAATAACGTGATCCCTTCACTTTAAAATATTTTAATGTAGGCTTAAATATGTTTTTAGTCCTTGTAAATATGACACACTTTGTTTTAGGTCCCTGCAAAATATTTTTTTGGTTTTTTATCCCTGTAATATGCCTTAATTTGTTTTTGGTCCTTGTCTAATTCCAAAACCACTTTACTTGGGAAAAAAATTATTTTGAGTTGCATAAATCTACTAGAAATATTTATATTTATCCTTTTCTATTTTTTTAGGCTAATATGAGAGCTAAAATAATGTAAAACTAAATATTCACATTTTTAAAATATATATTAAAAGCCTTTGAAAAAATAAAATTAAACAGTTCTTTAATAAAATGACAAAGGATTAGAGGAAATCTATTAGTCAGGATTAGTTTTAGATCAAAGTAATCAAACGGATGTTGATATCATCGGGGATGGACTAAAAAGAAAACTAACATAAATTGCAGGGACGAAAAAGAAAACATTTTTTTACAGGGGTGTAAAACAAAATGCACTATATTTGCAGGAACTAAAAACATATTTAAGCCTAATGCAATTCAACATTCATATTAGAGCCCGTTTGCTAGTTTACACATTACAACTGTCCATACAAAATGATTACATGTAAAGTGTAGAACAGTGATTAGTTTGTGTGTAAAATAAAAGTACATCATTTGGCTATGATTTTTAAATAACACGCAAAATCTTCACAATGATTTTTAAAGAATTTTACAAAAGGACTAGAAAAATCATTAAGCAGACCTCGTACATCTGAAGTTGAATAACAGATATGTAAATCATTAAGCAGACCTCGTACAAAAGGACAAGGTTTTAGATCCGTTCGTTTTAGGCTTAAATTTACCCGTTTCAGGTTTAGGGAGTCAGGTTGCTTTGTATGAGGTGGCACGATTGGATCTGTAAAATTTGTCTTAAGATTATCTTGTATGCGTTCTCGATTTTAATATAAAGCCGCTTGTTTTATGATAAAAAAACAACAGATGTGTGAACGCAATCATCTTTTATAGTTCTATTCTCAATCGGCAGATGTATTAAAATTTATTGTATTAAATTGACCCAATGTCTGCAATCATTCCCAATAATACAACTCACAATATAACAATAAGGATGTTTTTACTTGGACTGTAATTTGTCCCAGACCAGATCAGACCAGACCACACTTGGGTAGTTATAAAAATACAAAGATACCAGACCAGACCAGCAAATTATAGTCCAAGTAAAAACATCCTAAATAGACACACATTAAAAAAATGGGTTGATGCTAGAAACCAAATGCACTAATAGCATTCTAGCGACACACTGAAGTGTCAAGGCTTAAAGCAGGAGAGATCAGTGTTGACATATTTAGCAGGGAGTAAAGCAAAAGACTCTACCAGGTTCAATCGTAAAGAAGAAAATCGTTATATTTACATGGATTATTAATCAATCTTAAAGTATTTTACATGGTACAATGTAAAATGTTTTAAAAAAATGTCCCACAGATTACACCTAATAATTAAAACAAATAGTGTAAAATGTTTACTCTCCACACTTTACATGCAAAGTGTTTACTAATCATACCAAACGAGCCCTTATAGTGCATTCATATTATAGTTGAGGCATGTGTATAGCATTGCCAAATTAACGCATCATGCCATTACCTCTTCCTTTCACTACCTAGGTGTGGCGTTGTCCCAATACCAATAATTTTGAATAAGAGTGGATCTGAAAACTAATACTTTAGTATAAATTTTTAAATTACGTTACATACAACAACAACATTCTCAAAATATTTTGGAGTCGGCTAATATGAATCTATCCATGATATATCAGCGTCAAAAAAGTGAAGAAAGATAAAAAATGAAATAATAATTAAGATAAGATAAAATGGATAAGATAAAGATAAATATAAGATAAAAACAACATAAGTATATTAGAAAGATTAAAGATAAAAAGATGAAAGAACATAAGAATAATAAAAGATAAAAACAACATACGAACATAGAAAAATCAAGAACATAAAAGATAAATGAAAAAAATATACTCCCTCGGTCCCTTATAACTTTGCCACTTTCCCTTTTCATTAAAGAATTTGTGGTTCCAGTTAATTTTCTCTCTGCACAAACCTCAACCACACAGTTTTTACTTTATTAATCCTCATGCCGGTCAAACTTGCCAAAGTTATTAGGGAAGGAGGGAGTAAAAAAGATCACTCGTCCACATGATTATGCGCCCTACATGTTACTCTATCCAAAGTCATTCAACCAAAAAGAAGCATATCAGTTCTGGTATTTCTCTCTCCCTATTCTCCCTGCCTCTTCTCCCAACCTCTCAACTCGTCTAACAGGTGCATCACTCGGTCTTCTATACACATGACCAAACCACCGCATTTGAGACTCATATTTTATCTTCTATAAGTACTACTCTCACCTTTTGTCTGATTATTTTCTACATCGCAACTCTGCAACACTCATCTTTTGATTGTGATATTATTTCAACCGTTAAACACAGTACGTCAATGCAGGCGTAATTGTTGTCCGATAAAATTCACCTTTCAGTCTAATAGTTGGCATACCTCGATCGCTCTTCCATTTCATCCATCTTGCTCTAATTATATGAGATACATCTCCTTTTGAATTATGGAGCACAAGTAACGGAAAATATCACATACCAGTATGTGCTTGCCATTCATCTTTAAATTAAGTTACATATGGGGAAAAATATCAAACTCGGGTGGGGGCCAGCCTGTAACATTTTCTATATTTTATACATTGGAAAGGAGGAACCTTCTTGGTGATTTCACACACCGTAAAAAAAATGAGGAACCTTCTCTCTATGTGTCTTGGCTTATCTCCTATCATATGGGCCATTTGGTACAATATGTAAGTACTACCTCCACCCTTAAGATGGGACATAAGGGAATGGTGTTGTTATTATAAAAAATTTAATTATGTGGTTGATGTTGATTTAGTAATGTGAGTGAAGTGAGAATGGATTGGAATCACACAAATAGTACCAAATATAGTACGAGAGTATGAGACAAAATTAAATGAATAGACAAAAAGGGAATAGTCCTAAACAAGATGTATGTGCACTTTGCCATATATTATAAGTGCTATGAATTTCTACCTTTTTTTAATTGAAGGATGAAAATGAAATGTTTTTTTCCCGGTTTTGAATAAACAAACAGGCAAGATTTTGTGCTAGAGGGAAGGAGCTAATGTACAAGTACTGCAAAGATCATGAAATCCCTCATAAAGAGATTGGCAAGCTTATTGTTGCCACTGGTTCTTCTGATATCCCAAAGCTGAATGCTTTGTTGACCAGAGGAATGGAAAATGGGGTTGACGGTCTCAAAATGATAGAGGCTCATGAAGCCAGAAAATTTGAACCAGAATTGCAGTGTGTTAAAGCTTTATGGTCACCTACTTCAGGCATAGTTGATACTCATTCCCTAATGCTCTCACTAGTGGTATGGTCTTTTAGTTGTGATATTATTCCATCTGGTATTTCAACCGTTAAGTTTTCACCACATATATACTTCATAATTTCACTTCACATTACTCTGACTACATTGTTGGTGACAATCCAATGATTATACTTTATGTGTATATTAAAGATTTAAAGTTTCATCTTAAAGGTCAACCTAATATGAGAAATAACTTAACATCATACAATCATTTACTTTATATGTGTAGGGTAAACCTCGCATGTCAGTATCTAATTTAATAATGTATTAGAGCATGATCTAATTAGGTTTTTCATCTATTTGGTATTTCATAGTTTAAGGTAGCCCTTTGGTTTTATTTGACCTATTTATGCACCCAGATAAGACTCACCGAATCGGTTTTGGTGTGAGTCAAGCCTAATCTAATACTATCTTTACATTTGGCCCTTTGAATAGAAGATGACATTCCTTTTGTATCACCTTAAGATTTCTCCCCTCAAAGATTTTAGGCTCGGTTTGGTATTTCACCATTTCTATTATAAAGTGTTGAACTCTGAATCCAAAATGTATGGGTGGATTTTGTCAAAAAACACCGAGTAACGTGTTTGTATTTCAATTTAAATTATACCAACAATATTTAAGTTGATTTATAATGACAAATTTCAAACTGCACTTCACTTTCACAATTCACAAAATAATCATTAAGTGGAAAAAGTTTGTGATTTAAAAGCCAACACAAACTGGCCCTTAAGAGTTAAGAGCTATACTTTTTCCCCTCTTTCTGGTTTGTTTTTTTAGAGATTTATATATTATATTGACAGGGATGTCAACCCAAACCGGTGTAGGGGGAAGCTGAAAGCCATGGTACAACTTTCACTTACAATACAACTGTTATTGGTGGTCATCTTGATGGAAATCAAATCCATATTCATGTTTCAGAAAGCAATGCTCTTAAAAATTGGCACGGGGATTCTCAGCTCGTACCACAATTGATTCTTATTCCCAGATTGGTAGTGAACTCCGCAGGCCTAAGTGCAATAGCTGTAGCTAAGCGATTCAGTGCACTGCATAAAAATGGAGCTACTCCCAACGCTTATTATGCCCGTGGTAGTTACTTTACTCTCTCAAACACCAAGAAACCTTTCTCCCATTTGATTTATCCCATACCTGAAGCCGGTGGTCTAGGTGTACATGTTACTGTGGATTTAAATGGTCAAGTAAAGTTTGGCCCTGATGTTGAATGGATAGACGGCATCGATGATGTTTCAAACTTCCTAAATATGTAAGTTTTCTTTAATTGAATAAGCATCAATCAACTCAGTATAATGTACTCCTGTCCTACTAAACGTTGCGAGTGTCAATACACTTCCTTTCTGTGATATCATATTGAGTACTGCATTGCTATAAATTCACATTTTTCTTTGCGCTTCAATAGAAATTTTAGTGTAGTTTCTAAATATCTATGTTTTAAGTATGACTGACACCAATACTAACTTAAATATTGTCAACAAAACCGTAATGCATATAAGTCAGATAAACAGAACTAAAAGAAGGAATTGAATCGATTAGCATAACCTATAAATCTTATAATCTTGTTTGTTTCTCCTTATTTCTTTAGTATTTTTGTTACTATTCTTAAGAGAAATACTGTTTATTGGGATATTGTTAGCATTTTTAATAGTTTGTTACTTCAATATTTGAGTAGAAATGATTGGATTCATTATGTGAATATATAGGTTTGATTATTCGGTACGTGAAGATCGTGCAAAGAAATTCTACCCCTCTATAAGAAAATACTATCCTGGTCTAAAGGATGGATCACTGCAGCCTTGTTATGTCGGTATCAGACCCAAACTTTCCGGTCCTGAAGTAGGCTTCACTGATTTTATAGTGCAGGTATGAAACTCTTGAAACCTGAGTTGGTTTGATCTGTTCAGTTTGTATGTAGATATGCCATTGCATGTAAAGTAGTAACTTTCACATTTAATTACATGATTACTCGTAAGAACTCACATTCATTAAGATCATGTAATTACGTCGTTACTCTAATTATTTTATATGCGGGGACAATAAGATCACATAAAGTTTACTGCTTTATACACAGCACATTTGCAGATATGCTGGAGCATTTGTTTCCAATTATATCAATTGTATTTGTAGCATTGGCAATCAAATGGCAAATGTAATCTTTAGTGTCTCACTTTTTTTGTAGGGAGAGGACACCCATGGCATAGCTGGCCTTGTAAACTTGTTTGGTATAGAATCGCCGGGACTTACTTCAAGCATGGCAATTGCAGAGCATGTTTCTGCCAAACTAATATGAAGATAATTTTTGTCCATTTGGTACCGAGTATAAAGCTTTACAAATTCATCTGTCCTAGAAGTTTTGACCACTGGGCATGGCTTTGTAAAAGCAAAAACTACACTATGCAATGAACACCTTACTAAAAAAGTATGTAACGTCAAGTCATTTGATATCAATGAAACGTAAAATGCAAATGATTCAAAGTCTCAAAGATTTACGAATCGACACATAATTGTTGTGATTCTCCTGAAAATGTGACCGTGTGCAAGTTTGTGATTGGCATTTCCAAGTCCTTATGGAGCAGATTTAGTACCAAGTAAAAGCCTTACCAGTTCAGTTGTCCTATAAGGTTTGACCCTTCTCTAACTTCATTTCCGCAAAGGGAGGTCGGATGTATGCAGTCTTACTCCTGTACTAAAGCACAGAGAGACTGTTTCCGGATGACCCATAATGAAAATCGCGTCCAAAATTGTATGGACTGACTGCTGCTTATGATAAAGAAGCGCAGACAATTTAGTGACCCTTCTCTAACTCTCTTAGTAAAAAATTGTTGCACCAAGGAATATCTTAACAAAAGGATGAATTGCTAAAACTTTTTGGCAATTTAAGCTGATTATTACACATATAAAACATATAATGTAGTTAATATGGATGGCCAGTATGGTGAGAGATAATTCTTCATTAAGTTTTTTCGATAAAAAGTTTGTACATGATTCTTTTATAAATTATAAAGCGTGACGAAATTATGTAATAAGATAATACGGAGTAGTAAAGATTTGGGTTCGTAGTACGGGCGGCCTTTCTATAATCATTTCTAGCCTCAGGCTTGTCTTTATGTACTCCCTCCGTCCCTAATAAAACTTCCAAAACGGCTAGGCACACAGTTTAAGATAGTGGGTATTGTGTGGTGGAGAGTTGTGCAGAGGAGAGAGAAATGTGTAAGAAATATTGTGAATCACAAAATCTTTACCAAAATGGGAAAGTGGAAGTTTAATTTGGGACGGACGAAAAGGGAAATTTAGAAGTTTATTTAGGGACGGAGGGAAAGTGGAAGTTTAATTTGTTGGTTAGTTGTATTAAGTTTAATATGTGTATTCAAGGAAAATATTTATAGGAATATTTTTCTTAGAACCCATTTCTTAAATGAAATTATTCTTTCGGGAACAAACAACTTGAAGGACCAAAATCCTCTATGGAGGATTCGATGGCATCCTCAAGGTATCATACTATTGTGCACATAAACCAATCAATATTACACTTGAATTTCTTGGGTGTGTCTCGGAAAATAAAGAAAATTAATCAATAAAATAGCTAAAGAAAAACAGAAAAAGGATGGAGCAGAATTTAGTCAAAGCTCGTGCTACGCACAATGTCCTTAACGTATTCGTTGCCTCCCTAGGTGCTAGGAGCATTGCAAGTTGCAACGATCGTTTCTCAGGATACGATGACTACAAACAATTGTTTGAGCACTCAACAAATTGCTCCAGCGAACGGAAACCAAGCAAGAACACTAAAGAAATTTTCGGAAGCTAAAGGTGTGTTTTAGCTTAAAAAAATGTTTGTGCTAACTGTGCTGTGAGATGTGTTGTTGCAAAACACCTGCCAACTATATATAGGGATGAATTTGTGGTGTGTTAACTCAGCTTTAATGGACCTGAACGTTGCACATAAATGTCAAGCATGTTGGGCATTAATATGTCAAAAACTGTCCATTTAAAGAGTGCATTAAAGGTAGAAGAACGATGGACATTAACTGCTGTAATGTGCCAGACGACTTCTGTCCAAGTAATTCTGGTTACGGGAAGAAATAAAAATTAAATCGTATCTATGAAAAATAGATTTTTGGCCGACATTCGTGTGCGCAGGTCGCTTGCACATGTTAGTCGTGGTTTTTCTTCTCCATTTTTCAGGATTTGATTCGCACCCTCTGCGGGCAAAGAGAGTCTTTCCACTTGGGAATCTTAACTCCTATAAAGAGGGTTCCCTTTATAAGGGGTTTAAAATCCCTTGGGTTTTCCGGTGTGGGATAAATCATACTAGAAACTCATCCTTTTTCCAGTTTTTCCATTTCAACGAGTGAACTTCGAGAATCAATTTTTCATTCACCCGTTATTCGTTTTGAGCATACCACATATCGAATTGTAGCCCCTAATTGGAAGTGGATCCCACCCAAAAATATTGCCCTAAAAATGACCATTTAATGCCATTTTTTCAACATAATTATTTAAATATAAATTAAAAATTTCTCTCAAAGAAAAATATAAATTAAAAATGACATAAATACATGGACCGTCATCTATTCCCAAGTTTCAAAGTATAGACTATTGGACTCGTAAGTTTAGTAATATATGAAAAAAAAATCGATTTAATTAATTTAAATTTCATAATAGGATACCAAAAGTGAGTAAATATTGGAGGGTCGAAAAGTTAGCAACCAAACATAGATCGAACGCAATGATAACGTCAATTTGGTCCAGCTTTTGATTAGTATGTTTGTGACTAATGGCAACAATATATCTCATTAGGTCTCTATTAGACGAAAAGTATGAAATTTCCATGAAATTGCTTGCCTTCAACTGAGGTTTACCCACAGACAAAAGTCACAAAACCATGTTGATATTTTTTTGGGAGAAAACAATACTATGTTGATAGTTTCAAGTCATCACTACACATTGTTTCGTATATACCATGGAAGATTAGCTTTCTGTCCATTGTTTCATTCAAAGACTTCAAAATAAAGCATGAAATTTAATTGGTATAGGAGGTTTTCAATTTCCTTCATAATACTGATTTATTTAGACTAGAAGAAATTATTCTTTTATTTTTAGATTAAACACGACAAAACAAATTGATACAAAAGGAGAAAAACATAAACTGTGTGCTAATCTCTAATAGATAATAATGTAGGGATACTCTTGTAATTACTTATTCTTGGATTATTATAAATACATGCATACGGGCTACGGCTACCTTTAGGGTAAGCTATTCCCTCATAATTCTCATATGGTATCAGAGCATATATTGATAGAATCGTATACCCTTAAAAGTTTTAATAAATTTAAAATGAAGAGCATGAGCATATAGCTATATGCTACAAATTGATACAAAAACTTTCTATATTTTAAATTTTTAATTATATGAATTGTATATTTAATTAAAGAAAACATCATAAGATAGATTAAGATCAAAGTGATAGAGGTTATAGGTTGGATGACGCGAATTATAACTAATCAACTCATGATCATATACTTAATTATTTTACTACCTTTTACTATTTATTGCTTTATTTGTATGATCCAATATTCGTTTGGTATTGATTCAGCAAGACATGCATGCATATATGAGTTGGCATATTTGTAATTTTGTACAACCTCGACATAAATCAAAAGCCATGAACATTTCACACTTTTGTCTAATAAAATGAAAAAACACAAAAATATACTCGTATCAAATAAAACATACTTCATATTAAATAAAATTAATAAAAATAAAAATTATTAAAATAAAAAATATTAAATAAAAAACTAAAAAATTAAAATTAAAAAAAATGTAGGCGTCTGCCGCCGCCTCAACAACCTCCCAGCACCACCAGCTCCGACCACCGAAAGAAATGCCAACATTTTTCCGAAATGCCATCATGATAGCAGATTTTGAGAAAATATGGCATTTTCAAAAAGCAAAACTGTCATCTTTATGGCATTTTCAAAGAAAAATGGAAGTTTTAACATAAGATGACATTTTTTCCGCCGATCGGAGGTGACATTGTTGGGTGATGGCCGAGGTTGCGGCAAAGGCCAGCATAATTTTTTTATATTTTTTTAATGAATCAAATGGTATACACATACGTGTTTATTTGTAATTGAAAATTCTATGTTGAAAGAACCGGACCGGGCGGGTCGACCCGGAACCCGGTCACCCGGCTCCAAATCCGGTTCGGTTATCGTTTAACCCGTTAATTGATGAAACTCGGAAAAACACAATGACCCGTGTAGAACCGGCCCGCACCCGGAACCGCAGAAACCCAGTTTTTTTTTAAAACCCAGACACTGGGACAAAATGGTGTATGCTGGACTCGAACCTGTGCCGCCGTGGTAGCATTTTGGCTTTCATTCCACTTGACCAGCTTCCTTTTTTGGCAAGATGTGTAGCTATGATGATATTATAATACACACATACGTACTACGTACCTTTTTGCCCGACAAAGGAGTATTTATTAAGCATTAACTATTGGTTAACTAAACAATTCAAAATAATAATAATACATATATAGTTATACACTCATGTTTATATTATACTTCCCATTATGTATACTCCGTTTTATGTTTCATGTTTCAAGTATATGTGAAAATATATATATATATATATATATATATATATATATATATATATATATATATATATATATATATATATATGTATACATATATATATATATATATATATATATTATATTTTGAATATTTTGTAATTGTTGTCATATCTATATATTTTATCCATCTACAACCAAATCTAATTTTTTTTGTAAACCAACTCTCAAATAATAATTTATTAATTGAATTATAGTGTATCATCATTATTAATGTATGAAGGAATAACATTTTCAACCTATATATATACTAATATACATATTTATGTGTATAAATATTAAATATTATATGTGTGTGTTGACCGGGTTTTCCGGGCGTTGACCGGGCTGACCTGCCGGGTCCGGGTTGACCCTTGACCCGGCCATCGCTCCGGGTCACTCTCCGGTCCGGTTTTTACAACAATAGATTGAAATAGTCGTGCAAATGATACTATCATTGATTGAAAGCCTCAACCTCTATACCCATTCTAATTATGCTCAATCTCAATCTAGATAGTTCAAGTTGGAAAATGCTAAAAGTACAAACGCACTTATAAAAAAAAACTGACAAACAAGTGATGTTAGTATTGTAATTACCTTTGATGTAAAAGTGATATGACGTGTTAAATAATGTGACACTGCTACATACGGACTAACTCTTTTGTAGGACTTTTTGTAAGCGTTTAAGTACCTCTAGCATAGCTCTTTCAAGTATATTTGCCCAATTTATCTTTAGTCTATGACCACTTGGTTCATTTTCCATTTTTTTCATTTTTTTTTACTTTTCACATTTCAACTTATCTTAATTTTCATTTTTCCGAAACTATTTATTATATAGTTAGTGCTACCAAACTACAACATAACATATTTTTAGTAAATAACAGAAATACAAAATGTGAATGAATTCAATTT